TTGGCTAATGTGTATTTATGATTTTTATGCTTCCCTTAGTTCAGAGGAAGAGAGACGAAATTACTTTGAAGGGCCAAATTAACTTTTATATTTTGGGACTAAATTGATAAAATTTAAAAATTAAGAGCTAAAATTACACAAATTGCTTAATTTGGGACCGAGGCCTCATTTAGAAACATGTTCTTTTAATATTTTTTTGACTTTTTATAAAATGATGTGAACAAAAATAAGGATCCAGTGTCTCTGCTGTGCGTGAAGCACAGTAGTGACTATTGTGCGGCCTGTAGAACTCATTTTGGGTCCTTTTTTGATGATCCGAACCGTGAAAATTTAGAAAATATCGAAATCAATATACCTGTAAAGCATCAAGTTGATCGGATATTAATAACGTCCTTATCAAATAACATTTGTATTTAGTTTCATACATACATATTCATTTTTTTATATATAAAAATGTTATTTGATGAACAGGTTATTGATATCTGATTAACTTGATTTTTTACAAATATATTGTTCTCGATATTTTCTACAAATATATTGTTCTCGATATTTTTTAAAATTTAAACGATTCGAATCATCAAAATAGGACCCCAAATGAGTTCCACGGGTCACACAACAGTCACTGTTGTGTTTCACGCACAATAAGAACAACAATGACACTGACTCCATATATAAATAATAAAAAAAAGAAAGAAAGAAAACATCTAATAATATATATGTTTTGATATGTACCTAGCAGGACACTCATGCTATGTACGGGAGATTCAATATTTTATTTAGAAATTAATACTAAAAAAAATAAATACTGTATTTATTAAAAAATGGGGATTGGGAGGGTCATTGGATTTGTCAATTTTCTTACAGTTCTCATGTCTATTTCTTTTTATTTTTTATAATTTATTAAAATATTTGAATTTGTTAAAAAAATTAAAATTTTTGAAACCTCTTAAACAAAACGTCACCTTAGGTTAATAAATAGGATTAAAAAAACCTTTTCTTTTAAAAAAGATATTAGAAACCAAAAAGTTCAATAATTAATAGATTTAAGATAAATTTTTTTTTACAAAAGATACGAAAAAATACTAATAAAACTTGATAAGAAATTTAATAATTTTTGAAATTGAAGTAAAACTTTTCAAAAATAAAAAAAGAACTAACCTAGGAATTTAAATAAATGTTTACAACTTATGAATGAAATAAAAATTTGTAAGTTTATGGTGGAGCCAATGTCAATGTGTATATATTTGGCTAATGTGTATTTATGATTTTTATGCTTCCCTTAGTTCAGATGAAGAGAGACGAAATTACTTTGAAGGGCCAAATTAACTTTTATATTTTGGGACTAAATTGATAAAATTTAAAAATTAAGAGCTAAAATTACACAAATTGCTTAATTTGGGACCGAGGCCTCATTTAGAAACATGTTCTTTTAATATTTTTTTGACTTTTTATAAAATGATGTGAACAAAAATAAGGATCCAGTGTCTCTGCTGTGCGTGAAGCACAGTAGTGACTATTGTGCGGCCTGTGGAACTCATTTCGGGTCATATTTTGATGATCCGAACCGTTGAAAATTTAGAAAATATCGAAAACAATATACCTATAAAGCATCGAGTTGATCGGATATTAATAACGTCCTTATCAAATAACATTTGTATTTAGTTTCATACATATATATTCATTTTTTTTTTATATAATGTTATTTGATGAATAGGTTATTGATATCTGATTAATTTAATTTTTTACAAGTTTATTGTTTCTGATATTTTTTAAAATTTGAACGATTCAGATCATCAAAATAAGACCCGAAATGAGTTCCACGGGCCGCACAACAGTCACTACTGTGCTTTACGCACAGTAATGACACTTGATCCTAAAAATAAAGAGATTAATGTGACAACTTAAAATAATTTTTTGACTTTTTAATTAAAATATTTAGTCGCCCCATGAGGCCTGACGGATCATCTTTTATATGAATTTATACATCTATCCCTAATTTTAATGGCATCTATATGGATAACCAATTTGAAACACGTTAAAAATAAAATTGACACAATTTAAGGCCTCGTTTGACAAGTGTCATTTTTAGTCAAAAAGTCAAAAAGTTACTAAAAAAATCAAAAAGCCAACAACTCATATAAAAAAGTCAAAGATTCTATTTTCTCTTTACTTTTTACATATTTTTTCGTAAAATGACAAAAAGTCATCCCAAACATACTAATTTTTTTTATATCACATTTTAGCCAAAAAATCAAAAAATTACTATAAAAGCCTCTTCCCAAACGAGGCCTAACTATCAAAGTATTAAGCCTGTCTTTGGGAAGGGAAGGTTGGGCTATTTTAGCCAAGTGAGGACAAAACAGGCTTAATTAGCCAAGTGAAGACAAAAAGTTGTGAGGTTCTGGGCAACAATCAAGGGCAACGTAAATTTACGAAATTACCCCACATGAATTATGGGCAACGCCTCAGCACATGAAAAGTAAAAAAAAGAACCTTTTTCCAAAAAAATCTTTTTTCCAGGAAAAAACAAAGAAAGTTGAAAAAAAAGAAATTTAAAAAACATTTTTTTATTTTTTGTTAAAATATTTTATAAAAATAAATTCAAACTCTATTTATAAAAATATTTTAAATATTTTAATTTTTTTTGTTATGTATTTGGTTATGATTTGAGTGTAGAGTTGTGAAAGTAGTATGAAATTTCGAGTTATATGTTTGGTTATGAGTTAACTCAATAATTTATTAATTGAGTTTTATTTTATGTGTTTGGTTACGACTTGAATGTAGAGTTGTTTTTAAATGTAAAATATTAACATTTTAAATTATTTAAAATTTTTGAATATTTAAATTATTTAAATTTTGTTGTTAAAATAATTTTTTGAATATTTAAATTGATTAAATTTTTCCAATTCAAATATTTTTTGAATATTTAATTTAAATTTTTTAGATTATTTACATTATTTACAAATAAATAAAACAAATGAAAATCCATTTTTGAAATATAAAAATATATTAATATGGGTTAATAAAAAAATGCCAAAATCGTAAATTAAAAAAAATAACGACAAAAATATGCTTCATTGAATTTTTTTTTAAAAACAAAACATGAAAACATAAATTACCATTCGCCACGTAATTAAATAAGGCAATAAAAATAAAAATAAATAAGGCAAAAAATAAATAATTAATGTATAAAACAATAAATAAAAATAAATATGGCAAAAATATAAAAAATAAAAAACACATAAAAAAACCATTTGCAAAAAAAAAAATAAAAAAAATAAGACCTTAAAATACACAGGACAATTATTTAAAACCTCACTTTTTATTATTTTACAGAAAATTAAAAAAAATAATTTTAAAATCAACATAAAAAAACACATGAAAAAATCAAGACCAAAAAAAAAAACAAAACAAAACCAAATTAATGTAATAAAAAAAACAAATATTAAAATGACCAAAAAAACCATTTGGGTCAACAATTCCATAGCACAGCCGCCGAAATAAAAATAAAATTTAAAAAAAGTGCGTGGTGACATCACAATTGGACAAAATTAGTTGCCGGGGGCAATTTAGTAATATTACTTATGAACACCTCACCAAAAATTCACTTCCCAAACGAAGACAAATGACACAAATCCAAGACTAGAAAAAGTAATTAATTTTATAATTTACTTGCAGTCAGAATGAGTTGTATAATCATTTTAAAAAGAAAAGGAAAAAATCTCGTCTACATAATAGATTGGAGTATATTGTTGAATCTGTAGGGCCTATCATGAGTCTCATTTCAATAATTCTAACCATTTAATGTGTAGAGTTCGTTGAGTACTTTGGGTTGGTTTGAGGTGTCATAAAAAAGTGTACTTTTTGCCTTTTTACGAAAAGATGTGTAGAAAAGTAGAGAGGTGATGTGATGAAAAAAAGATAAAAAGATGGATTATATAGTAGATCCCAAACTAGGCCTTTGTATCCTTAAAAAATTATATTGATTGGATATCGGTAGCCCCTTGATCGGTATACATTTTTGTTAACAATTTATTTTTAAAATTATATTTATCATTGACAAAAATATGTTCCGATCAAGATGTTATCATCTGATCAATATAATTTTTTACAGACATAAAGTGCTCAATAAATTTTACACATTAAACGATTCGAATTATTGAAACGAAATTTGTAATAACCTCACAAGTCCAATAATATGCTCTAGTTCACATAACTGGAGGGAAACCTCCCATAGGTAAAATCCACCCTTTTTAGTCATTTGATTCTTTTTCTTTTTATAAATATTTAAGAGAAAAAAATTATCAAGTAATTATTCCTTTTACCATGGTCTACAAATGCAGGTATATTCAAATAACTAGCATGCCCTTGCAAATTACTTTTAATTTGCCTTGGCTTTGGTATGTTTGGTAGAATTTTAAAATTATGATTTGAGAATATGATTTTATTTTGAGTTTTTGAGTTTTAAAATTATGATTTGAGCGTGAAAAATTTGTTTGGTTATGAGTTTTGAAAAGAGTTTTAAATTGAATTTGAATCGAGTGATGTGACATATGATGTTTGATACAAAAACTTATAATTTATAACCAAACACATAACTCAAAATTCTATTTAAAACTTATAAAAAAAATTTAAAAAATTTCGCAAATATTTTTTTATAATATAAAAATAACAAGTGTAAAAAAAATAAATAATCGAACACTGTCCTGATCAACCTGTAAGGCGACCAACTAATTCAAATTTTCCCGCTTTACAAAGAATTTTTAAAAGTGAATATAAAATTAATTTTTAAAAATACTAAACAAATATTACATTTGAAAGTGAATGTAAAATTATAATTTGAAGCCTCAACCAAACATAATTGAAGGGTAGGTGGGGGATATTCTAGTCATGGAGTGAAAATGAAACATTACGACTTATCCACTCAAAGCCCTACCCCATCCACGTCAGCTAGAGAGAGAAAGTCTTGAGAGAGAGAGAGAGAGCGCCAGTCAGAATACACAGTGAAAACTATAAACCGGAGGCCAGGCGAACAAAACCAGAAAGAAAAAAAAAAACATACAAAGAAAAACGTGTACACATTTTCTCGCTTGATTATTTCTTTCTTCTTCTCTTTTTGATCTCATCATCATCATCTTCCAATAAAGCCTTATCAAGGTAAGTCTCTTCCCTTTCTATCTCTTTGCTTTGCTTTTCTTTTTTTTCTTTTTCTTTTTTTGCTTGCTTTTTTGGAGTTTGCTTACGAGTCTTCTGAGTCTCAAGAAAAGCCATTGCATTGCCAATTCTTGGAAAAAGAGTAATGGGCTTTTGTGGGTTTTGTCTAGGATTTGCAGTTTATGAGGATTTTCTTGGAATTTTAGGATTTCTTGTGCTGTACTGCCTGTGATATCTTTTGGGTTTTAATTTTTCACATTGTTTCAAAGCATGTGTTGTTTTTAGTTAATTTCCATCTGAATTAGTAATTAAATCAATGTTTGAGTAGATATTAAGATTTGAGGTCTACAATTGTTGAACTTGGTGAGCCAATGAGAAACAGGACAAAATTATGGTTTTTTTGAAGTAATAAATTCATAAAAATTTATACTATTACCATGTCATTGATTTTTTTTTTTGGGTCCTCAATTTTGATGGAATGATTAATTTCTTTATTTATTTGGAAGTGGATGGTTGTGAGGAAGTTATTAACTGCCTGGTTTACCCTAAATTTAGGTTGATACTGAATTATGGAATTCTCTTGCATGTTGTGGAATTAGTAATGACAGTCAAATAGCGCTTGGACCAAAAGGATGACATTAAGTAGGACTAGGACCGGATATATGAAGTGTAAATTTAGCAAAAATGGAAGAGTCGATGAAGATTGAGTAAACTTGATGGCCAAAAGATACCTAAGAATAACAATTTTCGATATATTTGGTAAATTATTTATAACGATTGATATAATTTTGGAAGCATAGAAATAGAGCGAAATAGATGAATGGAGGATTGCATCGGGAGTGTTGTGTGATTGTAAGATTCCTATTAAGTTGAATGAAAATTTTATTATGATTGGACTTGCTTTGATGTATAGTACTATATGTTGGGTGGTTACGAAAAACATATGTTCTGGAAATGAGTGTAACAGTAAGGAGAATGTTGAGATGAATGGAAGGTGTTACATGGAAAAATACAATAAGAATTCAATCAATTAGAAAGGAGTTAGAACTGGTACCAATTAAAGGAAAAACAATATGAGATGGTATGACCATATGCATCATGGACCATTTAATGCGCCTATAAAAAGAAGTGATTTTTACATGGAGGATGGTAAAACATATAGAAGTAGGCCAAGGAGATTATGGATTGAGATGACAAGAAATGATATGATTACCTCAAAAATTAATGGAGGATATGACTTTGAATAGAATCAACTAGAAGAAATTGATTCATGTAGCCAATCCCAAATAATTATGATAAAAGACTTGTTGGTTGAGTTGAGATGATAATGAAGTCTTTTATTTTTTATTTTGGAATTTTGAAGCATCAACTGTGACTAATATTGCTACATTTAGATGTGAGCTGACGAAGAACAGGAAAAGGAGCTATTGATCTTTTTATTCTTTCGGATTAGATAGCTTGTTTTGAGGTCGAGGGTAGGATTGGTTACAAGGAATGAAAACTTGGAATCTTCTAGATAGTTTGGATTTAGCACCAGTTGTAGAATTCTAACTCTTGCTTCTACTTTTTGTAGGACTCCTCATTAAACAAAAGAATAATAAAGGAAATACAAAACATTTGAGTATATTCTTGAGACAATTGAAAACATGTAGCCTTTTGAGAGAGAGAGAGAGAGAGAGAGAGGAGCTCCTTTGTTGCCTTTTGAGACACAAGGAAAAACGCTATAATATTGAAGCACCTGTTAGGAATGAAAGTTGTAGCATATCTTCATTGTAAGGACATTCTAGTTCTCCTTTGAAAATTTCAGTATTTTATTGGGGACTTCCACATGATTCTATGTACACATTGCCAACTAAACTGGCCAAAGAAAAACGTAGAGGAACAAAGAGAAAGAAGTTCCAATGTCAAGTACATACACCTTGGAATTTGGTTGGGCTTGTATGTTGTTGTTTTGAGTTTGCATGTCCGTGCTTTTGATATGTCTGCAGAGTATTCACTTCTACTAGGGAATAAAGAAAAGAAAAACCATGGATAACATTTGCAATTCTCACTTTGTTTTGTTCTTTCCAAGTTCCTCATGAGTGAAATACAGACTATCCTCCAATAATTGATAACTAGCAGTTGTGCACATGCAATGCATGTGCAAATTGCAAAACATCTCCTCTCCACTCCCATCCTTCTTCACTCTCATCCATCTTCTTTCTCATCCATCTTCTCTCTCTTATGGTTTCACTGTCCTCTCTTCTTGTTTGAACTGATATTTGTGAGAAATAAAATTTTGTAGTTTTAAGATTTGTGAGAGAAAAGTTAAAAACCACTTGCAAGTTGCAACTGTAATATGGACAGGGAGTTAAACAGATGGACGTGGAGAGTTAATGTAGAGTTAATTTTTTTCATTTTTTCCCCTTACATCTATTGAACGTGACAACTTAGATTAGTGTTCACACCAAATAAAATGCTCACATCATAATACAGTACAGATAGTATAGATATGGGGCACACAAATTTAAAAGAGAAGAAGCCCATGCCAAATTCAAAAAATAACATATGCGGCTGTGCCTCCCTGTGTGGATTATGATATTAATTTTTAGGTTTTGGTTTGAAAATGAATATATGCTTATTTTGTGTAGTAAAAACACATTGCATGGTGAAAATGTAACTTGAGTTTTTACTCATCACATACATTTTAGTAGTTACATGCAATTTACATTGTTTAGCGGCAATGAAAATGTTATATGAAATGGGCCGACAATATTAGGTTTGAAATTGGGGTGACATAAGAAATTGAAATGATCGTCTCAGGTTCTGGTTGTTTGGCCTCCATTATAAGCAGATTGCTTTAGGATTGGGACAATTTTTTGTACTGCTATGCTTTACTCAACCCAATTCAATGCTAACATCCTAAAGGTCACCTCATTAATTTTATTTGGTCAATAATCCTAGAGGACAATGGAGCATATATATTTGCTATGAACATGAAACTATTCTGGTAAGGGACAATGCAAAATTAGGACTTTGTAATTTTATGTATATAGTCTTTAAAATTAAATTAGTACTTATCACTAAATTATAAATTGAACGGGGAATATTTGACCATTTACTGAGGAATCAAATTGATTTAAAAATTTAATTCATTATTAAAGAATGTTAGCACATTGAACCAGATAACAACCATTTTACTTTGAGATACAAAACTTTTGTAATATTACCATTATATAGGTTGCCCCATATTTTATATCCTTGTTTACCATTCCTTCCTTCGCTGCTAAGAGGTTGGAAAGAGCTATAGAGAGGGGTTTGTTGGTGGGGATGAATTCAAGTAGCCATGCGGTAGATTGAGACTCAATTTGTACTCATGTTAGAGAAGGAGATATGGTATAAGGAAGTTAGAAATTTTTTAATCAAACATTTTGAAAAAGTGGTTGTGGGGTATTCCTATACGAAAGGCATAGATGGTGGAAATGGGTGGTGGCTGTGAAGTGTGGGTGTTTAGAGGGATTAGAATTCTCTTGAGTGTCTATGTTTTATGAAACAAACATTTGGAGAGGTATTAGAAAAGAACGTGACAAGTTTATGGGGAAAATTGGTACTGCCATAGGGCATGACACAAAAATGATGAAGTTTTTGTTCTCATGCATGGTGTGTGTTTGATAGTGGATAGGAAATTAGGAATGCTATAGTGGTTGATACTTGATTATTGTTTATCACAAAGAGGGTACTCAAGTGTGTTGGGATATCTTGCTATGCAAGAGGTTCAAGATTGGGAATTGATAGAGTTGACAAGGATCTTAGAGAAATTATACAAGATATTGAGTATTGGATCAGGGGAAGACTCTTTTTGAGATGAAATCTATCTTGATCAGGGTGCTTTTCTTAGGAGGCATTGATTACTTGACACACTTCATTGTTTCTATGGAGAGGTATGTTGGGGTCCTATGGCTCCCCACAAGGTGTTTTCTTTTCCTTTTCCTCCCAGTGTTGTGCAACTCATGGTAAAATGCTCACAATTGATAATTTGATCTAGAAGACACACATATTTGTGAATTGGTGTTGCATGTATAAGCAGGAGAGCGGATTGGTGAGTCACCGTTGTTAGGGAATTAGGAAGCCCACAAGCACACAGCAATACAAAATTCCAGAGTCCAGAGTCCACAAAATTCCATATCAAGGCCGAGCATACATTATTTGGAACTTATACCTACTTAAAAGCTTAAGCATATAAGTGGAGAACCCATCTTATATGTATATTAAGACCTATCTCTTTTATTTTTTATCCGATGTGAGATTCTACCTTCACACATACTCCAACAATCCCCCCTTCTTATGTGAACCAAACATTGAGTCTTGCCTTGCTTCCCCTTGAGTTTGATCTATCATCAACAGGGTTCATCCTAGATCATACACACTCATCTTTAATCTTGATCTATAACACTCTAACATCGAGTCTAGCTTGGACCACCTCCCCACACTCCATTGTGAGCCACCATACTCTATTGAGAGCCACCTTGTCGTGGTCTAACCTTGCCATGTGCATCAAGTATTTTTCTTTGCTCCACTAAGAGTCATCATAGATTTTTCTTGCTCAATCAAGAGTTTCCGTGCAAGCCCAAGCCCAAGCCCAAGCCCAAGCCCACCAACATCAATGCTCCAGAGGAGCCCGTCCATAGATCGTATGCCATCGGCTCTAATACCAGTTGTTAGAGAATTAGGGAGCTCACAAGTGCACAACAATACTTGCCCAATCCATCAGGAAAAAACTCTAGAGTTCACAGACGGCACATCAAGGCCTAATATATATTATTTGGAACTTATACTTACTTAAACGCTTAAGCCTATAAGTGGAGAGTCTATCTAATATATATTAAGACCCATCTATTTGATTCTTTATTCGATGTGGGGACTTTACCTTCAGACATGCTCCAACAATCCCCTCCTCATGAGTGAACCAAACATCAGGCCTCACCTTACTCCTCGATTCTGATCTATCATTAGCAAGTTTATTATAGATCTATGCACTCCCCTTAATCTTGATCTATAACTCTCTAACATCGAGTCCAGCTTGGGCCCTGCACACACTCCATCGTTAGCCACCATACTCCATTGAGAGCCACCTTGTCGTGTTTCAACCTTGCCACGTGCTCCAAGAATTTTCTTTACTCCAACAAGAGTCATCATGGATTTTTCTTGCTCCACCAAGAGTCTCCGTGCAAACCCATGGCCAACAACATCAATGCTTTAGAAGAGCCCCGTTCGTGGATCGCTAGCCATTGGCTCTAATACCAATTGTTAGGGAATTAGGAAGCCCACAAGCACACAACAATACCGATCTAATTTATCAGGGAGAAACTCCAGAGTCCACAAAATATTATATCAAGGCCCAACATGCATTATTTGAAACTTATACCCACTTAAAAGCTTAAGCCTATAAGTGGAGAGCCTATCTTATATATATTAAGACCTATCTCTTTTACTCTTTATCCGATGTGGGACTTTACCTTCACACATACTCCAATAACCGTCTCATTCACTACCAAATAGAAAATGAGCTTTGGACGTTGATTCCTTGAAATCTTTCTTGGTTTAGTGTAGAGCAGCATGCCCCTTCAAAATAGTTGAGCTTTTTTATAAGTTGGCAGGGGGGCTAGAACAGGAAAATGAAGGGAAGAAGTTGTAGCTTTTGATCCCTTTCTCATTATGTGGATTATTTGAGGGAGAGGAAGAATTGTAAATATTCCATGGTATGGAGGCTTCTTTGTATTGGCTTAAAAGTACATGTAAGCTTTTTTTTTTGCATAGTTGGGAGTCGGTAGTTATTAACTTGTCTCTTGACTAATTCTTAGATTTTGTAAAGCTTTTTTACACACGTGGTGCATATATATATATATATTTGTTTACTTTTGTACACGGGTGGCATTCCTAAATGCAGCCTTTAATGAAATGTTCACACTTTACCCTCGTGAACTATCACTTGGTATCATTTAACTTGTCTCTTGACCAATTCTTAGATTTTGTAAAGCTCTTTTACACTGCTTCACTTTTTTACACAGGTGGCATTCTTTAATGCAGTCTCTAATGAAATGTTCGCACTTTACTCCCTTTAACTATCTATCACTCAGTATAATTTTACACCTAAACTAAAAAATGCTACACGTTACCATCTTGAACTATCAATTTGTATCAATGTGAATCTTTCATTAAGAATATGTTAAATAAATGGATGGAAAATTGTCATGTGCCTTACACATGACATCTTAAATATTGTGAAATAAATGACCTTATTCTTCTCTTCTCCTTTTCTCTTTCTCCTTCCCTTGTTTCTCGTACCCATGTCAGCAGCCATGGCTGCCATCGTTGCCACCACGGATAGAAGAAAAGAAGAAAAAAGAGGCAATCCACTGTATTTGAGATGTCATCTGCAAGTCATATGTAATTTTCCCATCTATCTACATAATGGATCCTTAATGGAAGGTACATATTGATACAAATTATAGTCCAAGGTGCTTTTTTTATCTCCGGGGAGAGTTCCTCGTGCATTCATGCGAACTACTTGAAAATGGGGAGATCATTAGTGAAAGCATTTTTCAGTTGACGGGGGTAAAGTAATATTAAGTAATAGTTGAAGGGGGTAAAATGTAATTTGCCCAAAAATGAATTGCCATTATTGAGTTATATTGTTTCTGATTTGTGAACAATTTGAGAATTATCCTAAAAAGTCAGTATCACCATGAATAATTTGTGAATTTGATCAAGTATGCTTGATGTAGAGGTTGGCTTCAATGATCATCCCGTTATTATTTCCTATATAGCTTGAGATATTGAAAGAGCATCTATTATTGCTATTCTAATTTTCTTGCCTGCTATTTGTTGTAGGAACTCATTTTATGCAGAGCAACAGTTGCATTCAAGACCTTGCTGCTTTCCAAGTTTCCATACCTTGTAACACAACTTGGTGAGGACTGTTAAAGAGAAACATTTGTCAACAAGTATTGTGTCATAGCAATAGGGAATGGTTATTCAGTCCAGTATCGATGGAAGGCAATACTGGAAATTTCCTCTCCAACGAGAAGCAATCATTAGAGGTTTCTACATCTGACAATGAAGTAAAAATGCCTACAGAAAACAGTGGAAGCACTTCTGTATTTGTCAATCATGGTAAATCTTCTGCACTCTTTTGTAAGATGGATAGCAATAGATAATCAGTTAACAATGGTGTTGAGGGCTTTTGTTCTTTTGTTATTCCCATTAAGTCATTTGCTCGAGTGAAATATAGCACCAAAAGCGAAATATAACTGTTTGTGTCTATGTTGTGGTTTTTTTTTTGTTACAGGAATGTTGTGGTTTTTAAAGTAAAAAAGAGACAAAAATTTTCGTGCATCTATTATTAAACTAACTCTTTTCTTTTAGTGGGGAGGATGGCAAGTACTTGATAACTCATTCTATTTTATCATCGTATTTAATTTCACGTATATAATTATACATATATATATATATAGGGAAAGGAGAACAAAGGAGTTGGGTGGTGTGTTTGAGTTTAACTTTTATCTGAAAGTCAATCCTAATTTCTTGTGCTTTTTCTCAGTCATTTTCTGTCTGAAAACCTCTGAATTTTTCCATCCAGGAGTCATTTGCATTCACTAATGATTTCATTTAACCATAAATATAAAGGAATAAAGCATCTCCAATCATTCATCAATTTTTTCATCTAATTTGATTCCAAATTTAAGTAAAAAGCTTGATTTGATATGAATTACTCCAATCCTTTTATCAATCCTCTTGTACCAAATTTCCCCTTTCATCAAATTTGATGAAAAAAATACCTCCAGCGCTTCATCTTTTTAATTTTTCATCAAATTCAAATTTGATGAAAAAAATGACTCTCTCTTGATTGGATGAACATTTGATGAAAGGGCTGGAGATGATTTTTGAGCACTTTTTCATCAAATCTAAATTTGATGAAAGAAAAAGTGAAGGATTGGGTGCAAAAAATCTGCAGTCTACCACAGAGCCATCAAGAAGAAAATTCAACAAGAGAAATTTTGTTATCCAGTGGAGGCTACGGATGAATGGGAGAAAGTTCTTGAAACGTGTGAAATCCATTTCTTTTGACTCTAACTAGGATAAGTCTGTGATGAGCCTCCAAAAGCAATTCAGCTTTAAAAAGTACATAGAGTTTATTGCTCTAACTAGGGTAAGTCCTCTAATTCTTACAATGTTTCAAGAAGAAGAAACTCACATTTTGGCAGTAAATAAAACTTTCTAGCCTCTAACATTGATGAGAGATAGAAGTCCCCCTTTTTCCCTTATAAATTCAATTATATTCCTTATAATTTACTGCATCTTGTGTCATAATTCCTACAATATATAATACATTTAAATATTCCAAACGTCTCTACTTATTGTACCCACTTTTGGATGTGTCCAAATATCCAAATATTTAGGAAGATTTAATGCTTAGACACACACCTGCATCGATACCTGAGTCCACATAACATAGACTAAGATACAGATTAATGTCATGAGTTGAGGAGTTTCTGATTGCTACAAACTGATTTTAGGAAAAAGGAAATAATACAAGATGGAAAATGCTCAGATCATAGCCTCTATGGCTGCATCCACAGCACTTTCACACGTTGTGGGGCCCACCTATGTGAGAGGGGAGGTTGTGGATTTATCCATTTACAAATTTTGGTCATTTATTCTTGGATGGGGGAATAGGATGATATGGTCTTTAATTTTTTTTACTTTCCTCGATGTAGCTCGTGGATGACAAAAATGTTGAAGGTGAACGGAAATGTGATTCTGGGTCCCATGAATCTACTGTTTGGAATGGATTGAAAAAGAAAGTAATTCCTAATTACTTGCTCAATCTAGAATCATTTTCCAAACTAAGCAATAATCAAATCGCCACCCTCCTCCAATGGTAATCTCATATTCCAACTCAATCTAGAAAAAAGAAAAAGAAAATGTGGACTCTAATAATAATAAATTCCGACTATATCACCTAATAAAATAGAAACACCTATTCATATTTATCAAAAAAAATAAAAATAGAAACACTTATTCTCTCTCTTGAAATCTTCTCCCACTTTCTCTTTCGTCCAAGGTGATGAACAATGAGTGTTTTAGACAATTATATAAAACCTTATTCCATTTCCATGTTCTAAAAAGGTTAAATCAAACACTTGAATGCGTTTTAATATTTTTTTCTTGCATAAGATTCCTGAATTATCGAAGCACTTGACTGGGATTTCTTTTGATTCCCGCTCTAGATTCTGGCCATCCAAACATAGACTTAAAATGTGTTATGGATGAGATTTTTTTATTTTTTTATTTTTAAACATTTTGATGTTTATAAGTAGTTCTAATTGGAAAGGATTGCTCCTTTTTGTTTGTTTGTTTGTTTGTTTTTTTTTTTTGGCTGAATGTGTTGTGTAGCTGAATGTGGGGTTATGGAGTATGATATGGCTGAATGTGTTGTGTAGCTGCAATTGCTTGGCAACAAAATAGAAAAGAATGGATTGGTGATCAAAGTCAAAGGTCAAAAAGAATACAGAAGGATCCAATTATAAGGTACATGCGTTCCCCATAGCTTATTTGAGTACCACTGAAATCTGTTGTTGATTTTGGTTAGTCATGTCATTAGCATTTAAAATAAAAATTTGTTCATACCATCATGCTAGTTGCTACTATGTTAGCAGCTTCTGAGTACTCCTGAAATTGTACTTGCAGGAAAGGCTTCAAAAAAATCTAGGCTTTCGTAGGCAATAAAGAATCTATAAGTAAAAACTGTCCACAACTAATATTTCAGGGAAAGCAAAAAAAAGTTAATTATTTGCCAAGTAAAGTTCTGACGTCAGTTAATAAAACAAATTTGAACTCAGCCTGAGATGTACTAAACTTATTTTAACAATTTACGTGAACATGTGTTAAAATAATCAAGCTTTGATGCAAATGATCATTCAAATGTCATCTTAATTTATACTGTGAATATAGCCAAAATTTGAAGAAATTTGTTGTGAATTGTGATGTAACTGATAATTGAACATAAAGTTGATTATATATATTCACCGTAACTTTTCTATTAGTACGGATTGTATTAGGAATTATAGATCTGTCTGAAGTTCTTGGAAAAATGTCTTTTAAGTAAAATGTAAACCTATGATTTTGCTTCAAAATTTGAACTCCATTCACTTGAGCATTGGAAACATCATTTCATGAAAAAGAATAAGAAAAAGAAAATGTGGGATCCAGAGAGAGAGAGAGAGAGGCCGAAATTTTGATAAGCTGAGTGTTTGGTTTAGAACAGTAAAGCATGGTCTTCATTCTAACCATTACAGAATTCTCAGAGAGTTGGCCTACATTGGATAACTTATGTGGTGTCTCAATCATGTTGATGCTGTGTATCACGATTAAAGGGTGCTTGTGCTACATGTTCGATATCAGATTAGATTTTTTTTTTTGCTTACAGACCCGTACAGTATGGGCTGTTGATTATTCCCATTGATTCTCAATATCATCTCCCCAATTGAAGTTTTTTATACATTGATTTCTTCTTTGAATAAATGAATTGTTGTTTTGTTTTAAAATTCAGATTGATGTGAGCACATAGCTGATCAAGAAAGATTGATGACAGCACATAGAGGATAGTCTTGAAAGAAAAAAAATATAGGATCTGACAAAGCATATGAATCATTCTCCATTTTAGATTATGACAGATTTTGTGTTGTTGACTGATGTCATGTGTTTCTCTCCAACGTGGTTTTAGCTCATTGACTAATTAGTGAATATTAATTGCGGTTTTTTTTTTTTCCCAGCTGGTCGACAACTTATGAGGATTTGCTCTCTACTTATGAGCCTTTTTCGGAGCCCATTCCATTAACTGTAAGGACCTCCAATACACATACTCTTAGTTAGACCAGATTTTGGTATATTTTGTGCAATTTTTTAAATAATGGCCCCTCTCTCGCTCTCTCTCTCTCTCTCTCTAGAATAGGAGTGTTTAAAATGAAAATAATTGGCATTTTGTTTCCCTAGAACATTTATGTTGCATTTGGATCTTTCATTTGTAGAGGAGTTTATGAACAGAAAAGAAATGGGAACAGGAAAGTGAATAAAACAGAAGTTCAGTTTTTTTTTTTCTTTTTTCTTTTCACTTTTTCCTCCATAAATCCAAGATCCAAATACAATCTTGTTCTTTTAGATTTACTATTATTCTCCTGAGACTGCAAACTGGTATATTTAGCTACTGTACATTGATTTTTAGGATGTATTTAGCATGTATCTTATTAATTTTTCACTGTGTGGTGAAGGATTCATTCACGGGAAAAACTTGTTGGCTTCAGTTCTAATAAGAAACAAATAGATATATATATATTTTTTTAATCAAGTGTGACCTAAATACATGATTTCAAAATCTTTGCTCGAGAATTTTTCTACATTCGACTGTGCATATCCTTTTGTATTTACTAATGTGAATTTGATTGTTGGAGTTTGCAGGAGCTGGTAGATTTTTTAGTTGACATTTGGCTTGACGATGGCCTCTATGATTTAGATAATCAGTGATAAAATACCAATTATGACCTCTAAACGCCGCAGATTATCAGTTGACATTCTGTTCTTTTAGCCAATTTCTTCTATTTCTTGATAATGTAAAACATGGAAAAGGGGTTGGAGGATGTTCTTCAGTATAACCACAGAATAATTAGTGGTAATGTGATTGTTTGTCGATGCAGATTTTTAGGGATCAACAAGCAGGGGCATTAGTTTGTAGCTATTATTTGTACCAAAACCATAATGTATTTTTATTCACTATTTTATGATGTTAATGCGAGGCGTTGATAGTAAAATTATAAACCGAATGACGGATTAGCGTATTGGTAAATTGTAGTTTGAGTAGCTTTGGGTTGATTGACAAATTAGAGAATATTTGAACAAATTATCAAGTATTTGTATAATATATAACATTAATTTATATAATATGATATACATATATATATATATATATATATGTAACACAAATTTATTTTACATAATATTTTTCATATATATGATTATTAATTTGTAACAAATTTTACATCTTAAATATTTTTCAAACTCATTTTTATTTTGATATTTCATTAGAAGTTAATATATATATATATACATATTAATTATAGTAGAGCGGAACGGTTTCGAAAGCGGATTATAAATTTTAAAATTTAGAAAAAATTACACTAATAGTCTCTATAGTTTGGGGTTCGTGTCATTTTAGTCCCTGACTTTACAATTGTGACACATTTGACAATGAATTTTGAATCTTGTTTCAAATAAAGACAATTGAACATACTAGTGCTTAATTTTAAGGGTAAAATTGTCAATTTGATAAAATATAAAAAATATTTTAAAATTTTTAAAAATTATTTCTACTCACCAAAGATAAAATTATGTAAAATTGATAAAAATTACATGATTAATTTTTTAAAATTAATTTTACATGATCATCATCCAAATATATAATAAAAATTAATTTTGTAAAAAACATAAATTTTTAAAAGATTTATTAATTTTATATAATTTTATCTTTAATAGGTAGAAATAATTTTAAAAAATTTAAAAATAATTTTTTGATATTTATTTTTGTGAAATTAATTTATATTTTATCAAATTGACGAATTTGCCCTTGAAAAATTTCTAGTATCTTCAATTGTCTTTATTTGGAACAAGATTCAAAATTTAGGATCAAATGTGTCACAATTGAAAAGTCAGGGACTAAAATGACACAAATCCCATATATAGGGACTGTGGGTGTAATTCACCATAAAATTTAATTCGCGATTAGTGGATAGAACGGTATGGATTGATGTAGATCGGTGCGATTTTAATGGATTGTATGGTATTTTGCATAGTCCTACTACTGAATTGTGTGGTATTTTGCATAGTCCTACTGTCAAACAAATTGCTGTGAGATTCGTAAGGTTGTGTTTGGATTTTGATTTTTTTTTTTTTAAAAATAAATAAATAAATAAATAAGAAATAATTGAATCACTTATGAGTAAAGATACAGGAAATTTTATTAGTTCAGCCTCATTTGGAAATTTAGCCATTTTAGTTAGCTTTTTGATTATTTTATGAGATGGAAAAAAGTTATGTTTGAAATGATTTGTGAATATTTTTTGTAGTTATATAGATAGTTGTAAGAGAAAAATAATTGATTGATGTGTACAATGTGATATTTTATCTTATTAACTATTTTTGTTTTTTATTTTTTATTTATTTTTATTGGCTATCTTAGTCAGAAAAAAAAAACTTAAAACCCCAACGGGAAATTATAGAATGTATCTGGAGTATCACATATTCATATTTCTTAACCAATCATCATTTAATATGTTTCTTCATATTTTTCAATTACCCAACACAAGACCCACTTACCCACCTTCTTCACCAATCACAATACTATAGAATATTATGTGTCTATACTTCGGAATTACTGAATAAATACCTCCAATTGAAGTTCCCTAAACATAGCTGAACCTTGATTTTAAACCAAAATATCTGACTTATAATTTAAAAAGGAGTGGGCTTCTCGCTAGTCTTATCTGAACTAGAGAGACATTGTCCAAGTTCATGGTTCTATCACGGATTTCGTTCTAATAATTCAAATAATTTTTAAAGACTCTTTATATATATATATAATTTATTAAAAAAGTTAAATTGATCACACGATTATATTATTTTATTGCATTTATTATTAATTTTTTTAATCTATTTTAAAAAACATTTTACTGTTTTTGTTTTTTCTTGTTTTTTTTGTTTTTTTTAGAGACGGCTTCACAGTGCTTACCAACACAAATGTTCATCATTTTCCTTAACGGTATAAAGCTTGGTAACTTGCTTATGGACTAAAATTTCTCTAATTAGTATTATGCTAATTAATAGGCATGTTTGTTTCATCTCGTTGAGTTGAAAGTTTATGATCTATCAGTTAAAAAGCCTTTGGACAAGGCATGTTTGTTTCATCTCGTTGCGTTGAAAGTTTATAACCTATAAGTAAAAAAGCCTTCGGACAATGAATTTAATTTTAGAATTTTTTTTTTTTATCTAAAGATTCAGGTGTTAAAATGGTATGCTCATAAAGACATCATTCTATAAAAATGACAAAACTATATCATTCTGGATTCGTTTGAAATGTGGATTAACTTTTTGATTTTTTGATTATTTTAGTCTGGGGCTAAAAAGTCTCGTTTGAATGAACTTTTTGACTTTTGTGAAAGAAAAAATAAAATGATTATGATTTGAATATGCCACTTTATCTTAACTTTTTACTTATTTTGTCTTTTTTTGACTAAAATAGCTAAAAAAGCCAAACATAGCCTCTCAAAACCTACTTTTTCTCTCTCTAAATTAGCCCCTCTCTGTCTCTATTTGTTTCACACCTACCGTTGAAACCCTAACCTTAATCACTAAATTAGCCCCCTTCTGTCTTTATTTGTTTCACACCCACTGTCAAAACCCTAACCTCAATCATAGAGAAAGAGAGAGAGATGAGCGAAGAGAAGAGATCTGGTACCATCACATCAACATCGTGCTCCATCATCGCCTCCACTGTTTCTTTCCTCGTCATGGCTCGCGGTCACCGGATCGAGTCAGTGTCGAAGATTCCTCTCGTCGTTAGTGATTTCACTGAGGGAATCAAGAAATAGATCGAAGCAAATTTCTAGATCCGAAAGCTTGAGGCCAGCAGAGACGTCACCATTGATAGAAGGGCCTAATTTGAAAGAGTCAGACGGTACAACTTGTTGGAAAAAATGATTTTATGGTGACTTTAATGTGAAATTAAAGTAGGTTCCAATCATTGGTTGAGTTGGGATCAAATAAGTTTAGATTCTTTGTAACAAGATCTTCACACCACAAAAAGAATGACAAAAAATCATTAAGAATTTCATAAGAAACTGTCTCATAAAATTGACCTCGTGAATGAGGTATTAAGAATTATGTATAACTACTAATCCCACATTGATTGTAGAGAAAACTTTGATGGGTATTTAAATCTCAAGATTTTGATAAGGGCATAAGCCCTTTGGGGCATCCAAAATTTTCAAAGGAAAGGAGTTATGGATGTTTCAAAGATGGACTTGAGCCAATACTATGGTCCAAGTTGGTTATGCCAAAATTGCCACATGCGCGCGCCGCTCACCTCTCCAGACCGGGCTGGGTCCTGGTCGTGGGTCGTGGATCTTGGATTGAGGCTTGCTGGAATGAGTTAGGCTTGGGTTGGGCCGGATTGGTGGTCCACCAACCCAATCTTTTTGGGCTAAGTTTGTCTGGTGGCTGCAGATATACACATATGTGTATATAGAGAGTGTAAATTCCCCATCAGTTTTGTGCATTACCCCATTAGTTTTGTAGGGGTATTGGGCTGTATTTGTTGCTAGCCTTCATTGCTGGAAGGCTCATCTTCTCTTCCCCATTGTGTATAAAAGGAAGCTATCTTCCTTGGTTTCAACACAGAATTTTTGGCTTCTATACTATACATAATTTCTACTCCTATATTCTTCTTTTAGTGTGACAGAGTGTTGCCATTGTCTGTTCCCTGGAGCTAAACAAAAGGTGTTTCTGTGTTAGGGGGTTTAGATTGTCGTATCCTGGGAGATAGACGCCGATATACCTCCAGCACCCATAGTGAGACGGCGAATCTGTTTTAAGGAGACTGTGGTATCACACAGGCTTCGGTTTGCTTTCGTTTCCTTAAGTTTTTATCATATGTATTTCTGTTCAGTGAGTTGTATGATGTAATCTCATGTTTTTTTATTCTGTAAATTAATTTAATTTCATATGAATCTATTTGTTTATTTTATTTAATCACACAATTTGACAACAATCTTAAAACAAATTCTATGTTTCCACGAAATTGATCAAATAGATTCATATGCCATATGTAATAGATTAGGGCTTGAACCGACTCCAGTTTAGATCTGAGATAGTCTGATCTAGTTCGGCCCATTGGGCCCACTTTTTGGCACTTTTTCGATAATCCGAAATGTTCACATTTTAGGGTCTATTGAGTATATTATCCCTGTAAAAAATTAAATCAATTGGATAACGGATACTATGTATTCGGATCACTTTTGTCTAAAAAAAAAAAATAGATGGTTAAAAAATTAACGGTTCATAAAAAAGTGATCCGAACATATAGTATCCGTCATCCGATCGATATGATTTTTTACAGGGATAATATATCTATCAAATTTTAAAATGTGAACAGTTTGAATTATCGAAAAAGAGTCCAAAAATGGATCCAATAAACCGGACTAAACCTTGCAATCCAAATGGTGGACTGGAGACCAGCAACTGCCAATAGATTAATGTATTTACACTAGAATTGTACACTGTTTGTTGTTTGAAGTGCATGATTAGAACAATAAAATAATTTATCTACTGGCCACTATTAATAGTACATGGTAATAAAATTTATCTATTAGAAAAAGATGCATGTGTACAACTTCACACATGAAATTCGTGATTACAAATTGGAATTTGTGACTTCTGTCAACTAGATTTAATTTATAGAATAATATATAAGGCCACTGTTTCTTATTTATATATAATATATGCATGCTACTGTTTTGTTTTCCAACCACCGAAACCGAACCACCTGTAGCATAGACCACTATGTTTTATTACATAAAGCTATGACTTTGATTCATGATACGAAATTCATTTTTTTAAATAGATTTCCATGATGGTTGGTTTTGTGTGTGTTAATATACATATTAGTTATTTTATAATTTTGCTACCACAATATACATGATGGTTTTGATTAGAGATTCAATATATTTAGGCCATATTTGTTTGGGCGAACTGGATTAGCATTCCCATGATTAATAGTCCTAGGACT